GTTGCTGAAGCCACGTTGTACCTAAGATGATATCATATCGCGAAAAAGGGTATAAATTCCCATGTACTGTCGGAGTATCCAAAGTTCAATGGAGAAAAAACCGCTCGATACTCTGACTAGAGCTTGTGTTGCAAGACGCACCTATATTGGATTTTTACTCGACATTTTCGAACACCCATCATATTATATACTGCTTTCAAATTATCGCGCGTCGTACATAATTGCACGACGCGTTTCCGCCTTGCTTCCACTTCAATTTTCCGTTTGATATAGTATTCGAGACCAGCGCACCACCTGCCAGGATTAAACTCAGCCTTGTATGAGGTCAATGGGCACATGTGCAGAAAAAAAGACAATCTCCATTTGTGACAAGGAGTGTCTCGGGGCAAGTCGCGCCTGTTCAAACATTTCATGAAAGTGGTAATTGTTACTAGCTTCATTGAAGAGTCTGCCACTACACGGCGATAAAATCTGTTAGCTTTTAGACCCCGCTAAATCCTGCCTCCATTGCCAGGGTGGACAAGAATTCTACATGCGCGTTCTGAGCTCCCACGAAATCTGCTGCTTCAGCTCATCCATGTCCGTAATGTTTTCTCGACAGTTTGCACTGCACACACTTGTGCGCGGCGTTTTTCACGAGAGTTTGGTAGCGCGACGTACTGTTGGTTCGTCTTGAGCATGGCCGAATTCATCGTCATCTGAACTTCTCACCCAAAGAAAGATACATCTCGAAGAACTCGTCGTTATTTCTTATAGAAAATTTCATATTTATATATGTATAATCAAGTCAAATCTCGAGTTAGAGTATAAAAATAGCATTTTTACTATATGATATAATAAAGGCTGAGCCTGATTTCCGATCTGGGCGTGAGGCTGAGGATATGTGTATTGCATGAAAGAAGGCAAACGGAAATGTCATTGTCCTCAATTGTATGCTTATGTGTATACTTACCCAAAAAAATACGGTACATACTACGTTTGACGCATGATCTACTATTTGTATCAATTACCGGTAGATACTGATATGTGTGGGAAAACACAGAAAATGGACGATGACTTCGTTTACTTGCGTCAAGTGCAGCTTTGATTAAAAGACAAAATAATTTTATACGAAAGTTCAATTTCCCACGCAAATTGTCTATCTGC